AACCATCTCTTGATAATGGCCTGGTAAGCTCTGCCCCGGCACAATTCAGATGCCATGTGGACAGGGCGCACCCCCCAACCCCGCCCCACCTGCCAAAGAAATGAACCAAATGAAACAGAAATGGTACAATGAGGTTCGGGCTAACAGAGCATTCACTCCACGGTATTTTCTCCCCATCAGGTCACACCAGACTTTCAAAGGACAAGTGGTATCCTTATGCCATCATTTAATCCAAGGAGTACTGCCATCGGAAAACAAGAGGCAATCTCCCTGGCCAAAGATATGGAGGAAATGATGGAAATGGTTATTGCTTGAATTGTGGTTAGTATGTCTGAAGTTTTAGTTTTTCATTAATTTCAATAGCTACAGGTGATTAGTGGTTAGTATGAAATGTGCAAGTCTAGATCTTTAAAAAGTAGATATGAACAGATCACATCTATCCTAAAGTGCCTGGGGGGAAAACTGCTTAGGATATTTCTCTACTGCAAGAAACTGAGTCTCTCAACATTCCAGTATCTGCTCAAATGATTTTCCAGCACTGAGCTCTTTTTTGGTATTACACATCCCCAGTGTGCTTCTAAAGCATCCAGTTTGAAATGTCCTCAAACACCTTAGTCTAACTGTCCATCCACTTCAGAATCTTTCTCCATCACGTTCCTGCTGATTTCTATGCAATCATTACCATGTGTGCCCTTAGCATCAGGAGACAGTCTACTCCAAGTCCAAAGACACTTGCATCAAGTAACAAAAACTATTTTGCACTCTGCTTTAGTTCTTATACAGGTCTTTCATACTCATTGTTTCATTTAAATATCAAAATAACCTTAAGTATTTAGCAAATACATTTATTTTATAAAGACTACATGGCTTACCCAAGGCAATATGGCTTTTCTATGGTAGCCAGACCCAATCTTAGAATATCTTCCAAGTAGTGAGAGATAACTGAGAGTGAGAAAGAAGTGACTCCAAAAGAGTGAGTCACAGAAGAGTGATTAGAAGTGAGAATAGAGTGACATACAGCAAATAATCACCTTAGAAACCAATCCATCTCAAACTCAATCTTTTACAGATGAACAGCCTCAGTTCTACAGGGTAAGCACCTCAAAGTCACATACTGTATGGTTTTGTTTGTATAGTGCTATCAAGGAGACAAAATTATAGATGTGGTAAAAAGATAGGCATTCCTAGCATTCAAGGACAGAAGGGCTGGAGGAAAAGAAAGTGGGTATGGCTATGGTGGGCAGCACCAGGGAGATCCTTAAAATGATAGACTACTTCTGTATCTTCATTTTAACAGTGGTAACATGGATCTTCACCTGTGAAAAATTGCATTAAAGTATACAAACACAAACAGAAATGTGTGCATGAAGAGCTGGTGAAATCTGAATATGCTCTGAGTATTCTATCTCTTCCATGTCCTGGTTCTGCTATTATAATGTGGTTATGTAAGATGCTACTACCAGTGGGGGGAAAATGGGTGAAAGGTACACAGGACCTCTCTACTATTTTTGCAACTTCCTATGAATGCAGATCATTTCAAAATGAAAAGTTAAAAGAAAAATAAGTAACCTACAGACATTTTACTCAAAATGGCAATCAAAAAAAAGTATATAGCCGTAATACTGACCAGTGAGGTACCAAACACAGATTTAAACACACACTATAAGGCAATGACTAGTTTTAAAAAGTTATCTCCAATTCTGCGGTATCTTAACAGAGATATATTTCCTAACACTTGACTCTCCCATTCCACCCAAAAAGGAAGTGCCTCATCTGTGAGTTCCTCTGAGAGCCCAGGAGTTCTGACCTGAAGGTAGCCTAAGATTTCACAAGGGCTGGTCTCAAAGATGGAGTCAAGGGTTTCAGAGGTGACAGGAGCCTGGTGCCAACACAAAAGCCCAGGAGCAGAAGTAGCCTCCTTGCAGCAAAGCAGTGTACTGACCTACCACGATGGCTAGGATTTACATTGTGCCTCTCCTCCGAGACAAAACAAAGTCAAACCAACAAAATTTTAAAAAACAGAATCACTAGGCAAACAAACAGAATAACCTCAACAACCTCAGACAACAATTTCCAACAAACCTTGTAATCAAATATGTCTTCTTGCTTGACCTCCATGCCACCCCTTGCTTTTCAAGGATCCCATTACCTACTGAGTTTTTGGTCATAAGAATCCTCCAAAACTAGTAAAAAAAACAAGGAGAAAGATTATTTAAAACACTGTAAAAATTCTTGACCTGAGCCTCCATATGCATTTAAAGCACAGATAGCCACAACACATAAAGAAAAAAAAATGTCAACGTGGGTGAATTTTGCATCAGAAATACTAATGGGTTTTACAAAGTATAACTTATTAGCCTGGAAAATCAGATTTTCAGTAGTACTTCCCTTGTTTCATGTCACTATTTTTTTAAGTCTTGTGTAATACAGTATAGTATCATTTTAACATTTTGAAAGCATTTTCACAAATGACTATGAAGAAATACAGCACAGTACCTAAAGGTTGTGCTCTGCCACAGAACTCTCACTCAGACCCCCATCTAATTTCAATTAGTTTGGCTGTTGTTCCCTCAGGCGCTGGGTCCACTGGGCTCCACGGGGGTAGACATCAAAAAGAACAGAGCTCTACCCACAGAAGTGCCAGACTAACTGGCCAGGGGCAGACGCTCTCAAGTCTAGTCAGAACAGTGCCTTCCCATAAAACCATCCACATTTCTGCATCCATGTGCTTTTCTTAACGACAGCACTTTAAAATCTCATTTAAACCAAATGTCATCCATTATCTTCCATGAAAAGATATATATTTAAGTGCTTTGATCTTCACATAGCCTTTAGTACATTAGCATTCTTCATCTTCCACCATCTTCACAGAAACTAAGAGATCCACACTTCTGTGCGTTTTAAAAAGAAGGGGAATAAAGAGGGGAGCTTACATAGGTAGGACCTTCCCTCCCTCCCGTCCCCCTGCATGTTTATAAGGCTTTCCCTGTTTGTCTTGAAAAGTATATCACCCAATAGCAAAAGAATGCCCATTCAAGATCTAAACCTTCTCCCCCTCCTCAGGCCACCAGGCACCCACGAGGGGGGGGGGGTTCTGGAGCTCTTCTACTCTATGACCTATTCCTTTCATTCTGATCAAATCAGTGCTTCCTGGCCCTTTACTTCCCTTCAAAACTGTTCATATAGTTGTGGGAACTGTACATTGTTCTCATAAGCAGTGTTCATAGTAGATACCCTGTAAAGCTCAGAATATAGCTCTAGAAATCTAGTAAGTAAATGTTACTTTCCTCCAGATTCTTTAAGAACTTGCAATCCACCTAAATGGTGAACCTGAGTTTGACAAACGCAGCTGCCTGGGTCCAGGAGCAGTAGACAGCCAGGAGAAATCTTAGCCAGTTTGGCAGGGACACACAACCCCGTTTTGGAAGTAGGGAACCATGACTGTTCAATATGTCAAGCCCTGGATTTTCGCTCCCCAAAAAGGAAGGAAATTCTCTGCCACTGTAGCTATTAACTACTGTGGTTTTATTTGCTTATGGTGAGCAAGTTAATGTAATGGGTAGTCAAAAGCATCTTCAAGGTATCACAAATGGCTCTCTTGATCCTCTGTCCTCACCAAAGCCAAGGACTTTTATAAGCAATCGAACACTCAATTTTCATAAATGCTTCAGAGGAGCAACCGTGTGGACACAGGATAAGGGGGCTGAGGACCAAGGGGACAAAAGATTCAGTCCAAACAGAAAAGCTTCAGGAGGCCACAGAATCAGCCTCCCACCTCTCCCTAACGAAGCCCCAGTCTAGATGATCCACCGAGTGAATAGCATTTGGCATTTGGAGACAATGAACCCACACAGAAGACAAAAAGGCAAAGAACTTCGAACAAAAAACGAAAAGCATACGTCTTCCCAGTCACCAAGAACGTGAAGAAGAAAGCTAGGCAAGGCGAACCGAGCACGGGAGCTGCGGGAGAGACCCGGGACCCCGGGTGGGGTTCTGTAGGGGAAACCTGGAAAGGGAAGCGAGAGCTCAGTCCAGGTGTAGGAGGCCTCGAGGTGCGCGCCAAGGCTTGGCAGTTCGCGGGCCGGTCCTCCAGCACCGCTGCCTGTGGGGCACGTTTAGCCCCCGCCCCAGCGCAGGGCCCCGGCTTCGACCGGCTGTCAGAGGCCGACTTGCCAGTCTCCCTCCGGCCACAAATGCCACATTCCAAGAAAAACCAGTAACCAGTTCTACTTGGAAAGTTTAAACCCCCAGCCCCCAGTCACATTCTTTCAGAGGCTGCACCACAGGCTAGGGAAAGCTAGATCTAACTCCAGGTTTGTCAAAGAAACTTGTCCGGGGAGAACAAAGGAGGAGCGAAGCTGCTAATGCATTCTAGCCTCGGGGTCCGAGTGCGACCCCTTCACCGCCCCACCCTCCGAGTCAAATCCTGCGGCCAGGCGGGAAGGGCCCGGAAGGGTCGCCGGAGTCCTTCGGCGGCGGTGTGCGCCTTTGTCTCGCGCGGGGGGGAAGCGGCCACCGGACACCCCCTTCCGCCCCCTCCCTCGGCGGCCAGAGACCCGCGCTCGGGCGCATGTGGAGGAGTCAGGCCCAGCGGCAGCGCCCCTCCAGAGGACCAGCCCCGCATCGGGGGCGCGCCCGCACGCCAGCACCCCGAGCCCAGGCGGATCGGCGCAAGTTCCCGGTCTCTAGCGGGTCTCGGGACGGCGCGGCGCTGAGACCTGGCCGGTGGGTGCCGGAGAGCTGGAGGGGGTCAAGAGCCCAGTTCTAGTTCTCTTCCTCTCTCTCAACTAGCTGGGTCCCTTGGCGGACACTCCCGGGCCTGAGAGCCCCATCAGTTGCCCCAGTCGCAACGTGTGGAGCCGGCCGGGCCGACCTGAGCACCCGGTCCCAGGAGGAGACCCCGGCCTGGAGCAGCGGGAGCGAGGGAGCACCGGACGGCTCGGCCCTTCGCTTGGGAGACTTTGGGGGCGCCCTCCTGCACCCACAGTGGGGCTGGTTACCTTTCACCGCAGGCTCACAAGTTCCCCGGCGCAACTTTGCCCTCCACATGAGGCGAGCATGGCTAGTTCAGTCCCGCGGCGGGGGAAAGGCAGCTGCTGGGCATGGCATGGGGCAGCTCGGGGAAGTGGCGCCCGACAATTGGCCTCATTCACATGGGAAAGAGAGAAATGTCAGGGCTTTGCTTCAGCCCCAAACCCGACGACCGCAGCTGGGTCCTAGAGCGTCCCGCGCGCTCTCGCCACCGTCCGCGCGCCCCGCCGGGAAGTCGCCCCGGCTCCCCGCTGTAACCCTACACCCTACCCCCGCCCCGCGCCCGCCGCTGGGCCCTAGAGCCCGTCTTCAGCCTCCAGCCACCCCGCCCCGGCCCGCGAGATTGCCAGGCTGAGATTGCCCTAGCTCGAGCTGACGTGTCTCCCTGAGACTTCGGAGGGCTACAGCCTCCCTCGCTTTGTCCCCAGCCGCGTTTTAATTCGTGCCTCACCAGTTGTCTTTCCTTAGATTTTTGTCTTCCTTCCCACCAGGCCAATTCATATCTAATTCTGGTTCCAGATCTGTCCCCCAAACCCAGGTTAGGTTCTGCTTAGCATGAGATTTTTTCTTATGTGAAATTTCCGGGTGGAAAGTGACCACATTTTTTTCTCAACATTTCCCAGGCCCTAGTGCTTTCAACACGCGCTGGGATTGGGCGACAAGCTGCTAGGTACTCTGCTGGCAAAAGGGCCAAAACAGACATTATAATGCCACAATTGCAGAGCCAAACATCCGGTGGCCACAAATTCTCTCACTGCCCTTATCTGTCCAGTAGAGACAAAGAATGTGACTCTGGGAAAATGTTTCTGATTCTACCCCACTTCTTAAATCAAGCTGCACTAAGCAACACTCCTCACCCACCTCGTTATACTGTATTATACTGGCTATCCTCCCAACATCTGCTCTGGGGTGCCAGAATCGGTCCCACCCCACTTTTGCCTGGCTTTGTGGGGTAGCTCTGCTGCTCGGTTGAGAGAAAGCCGGGTGAGGTGCAGTTGCTGCCCACTGTGTGAGCAGGGGAGTACACCCATACTTCTTTATCTTGAGTTCCTCTCCTCTCTGCATTCTCACTAGGCCAGGAATCCAGGATTCTTCCCTGGATTGTGACAATTGCCTAACTAACTTGCCTGCAACTTTACCCCTCCAGTCAATTCTGATGCGTTTGTGTGTTCTACCTGACTGTTCTGATTCCCCTGAAGGCCCTTTTCTTCAGTAACCTCTGTTCTCCACATAGAACCCAAAATACAATCACTTAACAATTATTTATCAAATACCTACTCCATTTAAGTCATCTACCCCAGTACTTAACAGCACACAAGTGAAATTTACGGCAGCTCACCAGTCCTTGCAGATATGTTACCCATTTAAGAAAACAAGACAGGCAAAAGGGGAAAGCAACAACGCAGGAGATGGCCGGGAGAGACAGCAAAAAGGATGGGGTTTCTGCAGGAGAAAGGAGAGCCTGGGAAGGAAATGGTGTTCAGATACAGCAGGAAGGGGAAAGGGCAGCAATGGGCAAGCAGAGGCTGAGCCAAGTGGGAACTGACAAGGTCTCAGTGCTTGGGAAGGAAATGTAAACAGAAGGAAGGATTTTTAGGAGAAAGGAGGAAAACACATGGGGAAGGCAGAAAAATTAAAACACAAAAATGTAGACCTGGGAGGAATAGGAAAAATTATCGATCAGATCTCACATTTGGGTCCTCTGTTGAATGACTTGCCCAATGTTACAGAACAAATTTAGTGGGAAAGCCAGGTAGAATTGACTTCCACCTTGGTATGTTTTTATTACATATTGTAAACCCTGTGTAGCAATTTAGGAGCTGATAGTATATCCTACAGGCAACAAGAGAACTGCGGATTTACTGATTTACCCAGTATTTGTATGAAATTAATATAGACTGGAGAAAAGTTAATGAATAGAAAAAGAGAGAAAGAAAGAAGCTAAGTTACATATTCCAATCCCCTCTCCTAGGTACCATCCTATAACCTACGTGGTAGTAGAGTTTACAAGCATTACCTCTAGAACAAAACAGGCATTGACTGAATCACAGCTCAGCCACTTACTCTCTGTGTGACCTTGGGTGAGTCATCCTACTTTTCTAAAACTTACCATCTTCTATTGTAAGATGATGAACACAGCAACAAGTCTCCCAGGTGGTTGTAATGACTGAATAGAGTAATGAATGTAAAATGCTTAGTACAGTGAATTTAAGTACTGAACTTATATTTGCTAGGAGTATTTCAGCTAACCTCCCAATAGCCCTGTGAGATAAGGAGACAATCTGAGGTAGTTGCAGGAAGCAATGACGTGAGGTTGGGATAAAGAGACAGAAAGAAAAAAAAAAGAAAAGAGAGAGAGACAGAAAGAAATAGATATCATATCTTAGAAGATAACAAATAACTGGAAGCAAGATAGCAACTCTTTGAAGCAAGATTTCATTCTTCTTGGCTATTATCAACAAATCAAACAGTAACAGATGCTGATAAGGCTGGGGGGGGCTTCTACATTGTTGGTGGGAATGTAAACTAGTACAACCTCTATGGAGATCAGTATGGAGATTCCTCAAAAACTAAAACTAGAAATTCCATTGGACCCAGCTATTCCCCTTCTAGGTATCTTTCCAAGAGAGTTAAAGACATCCTATTACAGACATGCATCCTTGTGTTTACAGCAGCACAACTCATAAGAGCTAAATTTTGGAAGTGGCCTGAATGTCCATCAACAGATGGATGTATAAAGGAAATGTGGCATTTATACACAATGGAGTACTACTCTGCCACACAGAAAGTTCAATTTGAGTCCTTTGTAGGAAAATAGATGTACCTTAAGACCATAATGTTAAGTGCAATAAATCAGACACACAAGCTAAATATTGTGTAGTTTCTCTTCTATGAGAAACCCAAATTGTAAAGAGCAAAATAAAAAGTAATAAAAAATATGGAGATAAGTCCTTTGCAAAAGGGAGGGGACCAAGAGATGGAAGGAGGAGAAAGAAGGGAAAGGAAGGGCGTAAAAACAATAATTAAGATGTGTTATGTACATGTACCAACTTCCCACAAAGAATGTAATAATGACGCACTGCAAAAGTACCAATAAAAATTTTTTCTTAAAGAATTTCATTTTTTTCATTGACTAGATGGTTATCTTGGGGAAAAGAACAAAGAAATCAAGTTAACTGAATTTCAGCCCAAGTCACAGGGGAATACGTTCCTTACTTGGAAGAATGGGTCACTGGACCAACAATGGAGAAGGGGAACTAGTTGGAGAAAGATGTTGAGTGACTGTCTTCTGGGTAAGAAGTTGAGGATGGATTAAAAAAAGAGAGAATGATGAAGCTGTGAAGATCAGTTCATGTGAATGCCCACAAATGAAAAATGTGGAAAGAAGAGGCTAGAAACGTAGGAAGAGCTGAGGAAACTTAAAAGGCTTGGAAGCAAGAAAGTGTTAAGATGTTGATCCCTCTCTCTGATGCTATAGATTCCTAGACTTCCTATAAAGTGCTAGGCCTTGCTTGTAGGCATAAGAATCTTCAGAGTAAATCAGGCAGACCTAGCCTGCACTCCCTAAATGGTTGCCAAGTAATCAAATTCATAGAAGTTGAGGGGGAAAGTAATGCTAGATGCCCTTCCCATGGCTTAATTTCCTCAATTGCTAACAATCTCAACACCGGATTCAGAAAATGAATACTGTTCTACATCAAAAACATCCAAATTGGGCCGGGGATTTAGCTCAGTGGTTTCGCTGCCTGCTGTGCAAGCGCAAGGACCCGAGTTCGATCCCCGGTACCAAAAAAAAAACCCCCAAAAATCCGAATTAATTGCCCAGAAACTAAGGCCTAAAAATAAGACTTCAGATATGACTAGCAAGAGGTTATCAATAACATTTTACAGCATATTTTATGGCAGCTTCTGATGCCTGGTTTAAGCCAAATAGAAACAAGACACACTTTCAAATAAAAACTGAATGCAGCTTCACTAGCAGCAAGGTCTGCAATCTGTGCTCTTTTGGATCTACACTCTTGCTCCAATGGTCAGCATCCTTTCTCAGATGACCCAAGTTGTTTCTAGCCCCTAAGGGAGTTAGAAAGGTGAGAGGTCTCTTTGAGGACGCTTTGGAACAGTCTTTAACTCCAAACAAGACAGGTACCAGGATGGTCCCAAAAAGCACAGAGACAGAAAGAGGAGAGAAGGAACAGGAGTATCCAGATGGAGGTGAATGAGCCCAACCTTCAAGCAAGCCCTGACCTCTAGTCCCGGTTGGTTCCACCTGTTTCCAGACATGGAGAGTAACAGTGCAAACCTTGTCTTCCAGTCCTACAAAGCCAGAATAATGGCAGTTACCTCTGAGGTTTATTATAAGGATTAAATGAGATAGCACACAAGGGGTGATCAGAATATACAGTGTTTAATTTTTTTTTTTAATTTATTACAGCAAAAGGCACATTGCCATTAGTCCCCCTCAAAATATCCTTCCTCCCTTCAAACACACTTCTTTGAAGCAAGGGAAGTGTTTTCAGTGGAATTAGTCACAATGTATCTTTTGCTATAACATATCATTGTTATTTTTTAGTTTTTAGTTTTTTTAGTTTTGGGGACGGGATTTTGCTATGCAGTTCAGGCTGGCCTTGAACTCACTATATAGCCCATGGTGGCCGCGAACTCATGTCGATCCTCCTGCGTCAGTCTTCTGAGTGCTGGGATTACAGGCATAAGCCACCACGACTGGCTTGTACCTTTTTTTAAAATTTAAACATTGGTTGTATTTTTGGATCATATATATCAAGAGCTGGGCACATCTTAGGAATTCAGGAAAAGCTAGAAACCCTGTCCTTTTCCTTCAGTACTTTGAAATATCAAAGACATTAAAATACCATATTAAAATGCAAATCTCCTTCTCCCTCTTTCTCAGCACCCACCCACCTAAACAAACACTTACAAGCTCTTACAAGCTAATAATTTGATGAAGTGCCCCTAAAAGTGGTCCTGAGCTTGCTAGGAGAGAGAAAGTGAATGGCAAAGGGAGAGTGAATAGAACTGACCACAGAAGGAAAAGCTTACTGGTCAGTCTTATCTAGGACGGATCACTACAATTAGTAGATCACTATTAAGGACTGTTGGATGAACTAACCACTAATTGAATACAGTGAGGCTGCCTTAATCAAAATGCTTATTTTGCTTCTAGAAAAAGTAAGGATATTTTAAAAGTTCAAGTTCTGTAGTGATTTCT